AGAAAAACAGAAGTTTTAAATAGAGATTTAATCGAATATTTAGATTCTCTGGTAAATAAGAGAGATGGAAAAGTTATTTTTACTTATGCAAAAAATCATTTAGGTAATTTTAGAGTAAACAGATTATCTCGAAAAGCAGCCGCTATTAGAAGGAACAAAACGACAACAAAAAAATTATCTCCTTACAATAGTTTCATGAAAACAAATCTTCCTAAAATCAAAAAAGATAACCCGCATTTATCTCATTCCGAAGCATTTAAATTAGTTGCTTCAATGTGGAAAGATTCTGATACAAATCCAAAGAATCTTAACAAGCAAAAATAAATTATATTTAAATAAATTTTTATTTTTTTTTATTATCCTATATCAGTTTTTTAAATTTTTATTAAAAATTCAATTTTTGAGACTGATTGTTAACAATCAGAAATTAGTTTTGAATTCTCGTATATGAGAATTCAAAAATCATTTCGATTGGCTCACGATCAGCTCGAAAAAATTGCCGATGAATTAAAAAAAACTTTTGCCCTTTCCTGAAAGGGCGAGCTGTCGCGGAAACAACCCATACAATCAGTATTATTTTTTTGAGGAAATAATCAAAACTGTGGGATGTAATTCTAAATGTCTGCTGACCTGATCGGAATCTGGTCAGCAGATTCTTTTAATATTTACAAATTTAAACTTAAAAAACTAATCAGTTGTTAAACCAATTAGATTTTTAATAATGTAAATGAAAAATGTTTTCTGTAGAAATATTTCTGATTATACTAAATCATTATGAATTTACAAATTTTGAAGAAGTTAAAACTTTATCAATAGTTAATAAAATGTTTTATAATCTTATGAAAAGCATTTTATTAAATATATCCTTAAAACGAATTAATCACGACAAGTATGAATTAAAAATTAATAATAAAAAAGAAGATTGTGATGAATTAAGATTTGACCAAATTTCTACATTATGTCGTAATTGGACTATTATCGAAATAATTTGGAAAAATTCAAATAATTATTTTCAAAAATTTAACTATATTTATTTAAAAATATTGATTCCTAAAATGATTTATGAAAATTATTTAAAAACTTTTATATATTATTATTTTCATCCAAGTGATTTTATTGAAAATTTAAATTCTGATCAATTTTGTCTAATAGAAGAAGATTTTAGTTTAACTTATGCTCTTCATATAAATAGAGAAAGTTTTTTATATAGTGAGATTGATGGGAAGAAAATTTATTTACTATCTAAAGAATTTGTTGAATATCAAATTTCCCAATCAAATTTACAACCAACATCAATAAATCAATTACTTTCTATCTAATCAGTTTCAAAACCGATTAGATATTTTCTGATGTAATTTAAAAATGTCTTCAAGTAATTTTGATTTTGAAACTCAAGAAGATATTGTTAAAAAAGTTAAAAAAGAAAATGCAAATCTCACGTGATTCAGAGAGAATGAGAATACGAATTTTCGTAGACCAATCATGTATCCTGATAATGATGGACACATTACCGAATATACACAAATCAAGTTAAGCAGTAAACAAAATGCTCTTCTTGATAGAAAATACTGGGAATTTTTGAAGCAGCATAAATTTATTCTTGATAAAGAAAACAATATTATCGAAGAAATTAGCAAAGAATATTTACTCGAATTACTTTATCCAGAAGCTAAATTAGCTAATATTAGATTTAAGAATGGTTACCCATTCGATTTACGTGAATGTAATATCAAGATTGTTTAACAACAAAGAAATTTTGAACAATAATGTTTTTTTTATTATTCTTTATTAGTATCAATTGTATTTTGAACAATAAACTTTATTTTAAATATTATTTTATTTGAATTGTGATGCATATTTCATCAATGAGTCTTTATTTAGTTTAATCGTTTTTTTTGTTATTTTATAATGAGCAAATCGTTTATTTGTTTTTATTAGAAGCAATTATTTTATCATGAGGTATTTTTTGTTATATGTTTGTTGTTTGTATTTGTATTATCGTTATTTTTTAAAATTTGTACATTTTTCAGTGATAGTTGGGGACCACCACCGAAAAAAATAATCCACAATTACTATCATGACCCGTTTAAAAATATTGAAACCTACTGTGAAGCTTGCGGTTCTACAAAACATTTTTATAAAGATTGTAATTTTAAAGCAAAATATTGTCTTGCTTGTTATTCAACCGAACATTTTTTTAAAGACTGTCTATATAACAAATGTTCATAGTGTGATAAAAAGCATCTTGGATCATGTAAAAAAACAAAATATTGTTTTATTTGTAAAAAAAAATAATCATGAATTTATACATTGTTTTTTTAAAAACAAATAATAAATAAAATATTTATTTATAAAATAGTACATGAAAGATTTAGTGCTAAATAATGATGTGTAGTGTAAATTAAAAGAAAAATTGTTATTAAAGTGAATATACTATGTTTTAATAAATCGGTTAAGAAATATTTTAAGTAATTGTTTTGGAGATTTTTTCTGAGGTCTTTATTTTCTTTTACAAGTTCTTTGATTTTTTCGAGTTTTTCTTTATTTTTTTCATTTTCTTCTTCCAGTTTTTTATTTTCTTCTTCGAGTTCTTTAATGAGTTCTTTGATTTTTTTATTTTCTTCTTCGAGTTCTTTAATTCTTTTGTCTTTTTTTTCAATCATGTTTTTGATGTTATTGACTATTGGACCTTCTTTTTTGGTGGTTTGTTCTGTCATTAGATTTCAATATTATTAAAGATATTTCCGATTTTTTCCTTTAATTTTGGATCTTCTTCTTGTCTGATTAATATTTTGTAAATGATGTCTAGATAGTGTTGATTTGTGATTGTAGGACTATTTATAAAAAAATCATTATTGTGTTCAATTTTTGAACTATATTTAGTAAACCA